TATATTTCTTTTAATGTTAATCTGTTGGCAAAGGATATGATGAGACCAACAAATTAACCAGTTGAAGCAGAATGAGATTTAAGCTTGAATGACCCAGCATTAAAATTTATTCGATACATTGTTTGTGGATTCTAGCTGCCACTGAAAATGACACCGGTATCAGCGATCGATTCTTTGAATCTTTCCAACTGATCAGGGTTGAAGTAAGCAATCCCGCATCGTCAATATTTCTACCTGACATTGATGAACAATTTCACTGATTGTAGATAATCCTGCATCTCCGAGTCTGCTGGACTTTGTTCCCATTCAGAAACAGGACCTTTATCTGAAAATATTAAATCTAAAATTTTTAAATTATCAAGAACACCGCAAAGTTGATAAAATTTTCCTCAATGATACAAAATTTTTTAATTACTGAGTATTTGTACCAGTAGCCAATCTGTCCAATGCTAATATTTCCAACCGACAGGAATTATTTTATCAGTACCAATCCAGGTTCAATTTATTTTTAATTTCTATTGCTCTATATTAGTCGAATAGAACTAAAGGAAAGTTTTAAATCCAAGTCACCAATCTTTACCTCAAGCTCAATATTTTGAAGAGTCAAGACCAAATAATTTGATTTCCTGATAAATCAAGACCGATTTTTGTGAAATCACCCCATTTTCATAAAACCAAAATTTAAAAAGGAATTACATGATTTTATGACAAGTACCTATCAAAAGCTAACAGAAAATCTAGGTAAAATGCTGTAAACAAAAAAAAATTGTTGCACAGTATTATCAGTCGAAGTACGGTTAGATTTTTAAATTTTTCATTCACTGACCACCAATACTTATGGCATATGGGACATTGGAAGTCTTAAATCTTGAGAGAGACGAGCATTGATGTGAGACCTGGTAATGCCGAATATATTATGTTTTTTTTCATTAACAGACTAAGCATATATTGTGTTTTTGATATGAAGTGCCCAGTGATATGAAGTTTGGACCAAGTCACAAATCTGGATTCAAGTCTTAAATGCAATATACTCTGTAAAGTTCCAGTTTTGTATAATAAGTTCCTAAGTCTGGAGACTAGTCTTGAGTCTTGACACAATCAAGTTGAGTTGAGTCACTGACATTTTGAGTCACAAGTCAATCCGAGTCATAGTAGATTTAGACATAGTAGAACAACAACGAAATAGACTAATATTGGAAAAAAAGGAGTTTAACCAACGGTTTTCGAAAATCAAATTAAAATTCAGATGTGTAACCATGCTGCTGCGGCAAGCAAGTGAATTTACGATTTTTCAATACAACACCAATCAACATGGTAAATCAGATTAATTTTTTATATTTCGAAGACTTGCACAAAAAGCGCCATTATGAGTCAAACAAACATGTTTCAAAAAAATGTCAAATGAAAGTGAATCGACAGAACCCCAGCGAAACCGTCGCGAACTTAAGGTCGCTACACTCTTCTGGCCCGCGAACTTCGTTCCGATTCTGATTTTGGCCCGTGCCAAATAAAGTTTGGGAATCCCTGCCTTAGATGCTAAATTGATGTATTACACATAAAACAGTTATGACATAACAATATAGTGAGTCACTCTCTCTCACTGAACTAGTATGGTAAAAACCTACTCATAAAGCATAATATACACTTTGTGACCCATAAGTCAGTGGTTCACCATCCTTGTTCTAAATCAACATGTTGGAACCATAATCAATCTTTAGTAAGGGCAATCAAAAAACTTGTGACGCCAGAGTATACATCATTAAAATTAAAGCAAATATAATGGATTTCAATTTCCAGCTTCGAAGTTAGTGTTATTCAAATATTTCCTATAGTTAAAATAAAAATGAACCTATTCTCGAACTTTTGAAAATGATTGCGTCCATTGCACTGCCATGATACGGCATTCAGGATGATGGCCTAGGGCTCTAGGCCATGGCAGGTGACTGATTTTTTGTATCACACTTCAAGAGTTGCCATATTTCACTGCCTTACATTCCGATTTCTGTACAGATTTTGTTTTCCTAAGCCAGTGGCCAGCAAACTGTGGGCCGCGGTTCAATCGTTGGCTGCTGGGCATTTTCTAGTGAATAGGATCAGATTTACATATTTATCCCGGAGGAGAGGGTAGCTGATAAAATGGCTTAATCAAATGGCAAACCACGGCCTCTCGTCCGGTTACATGTCCATGTCGAGTATGGGATTAGCTAGTTGGACAGTTTTCAGATGCATGGACTTTATGGCGGAAAAAGCCGTAACCGACACGATGGCGGCGAGGAGTCCAGTAATCTTCTCGCATATAATCATCCCGACATGGGATTCGAACCTGCAAACACACACAGGGTAATCAGAAATGCGGTGACGAACGTATTCCTAACGTTTATCAGGATGAGCCACATTGTCTAGCCAATAGTGGGCCTCCAATAAATCCCAATTATGGCAGTGATACACATAAAAGTTCCATTAATCCAACATTACATATAAATATTCTGTCAAATGATATTCGTTAATATATTAAATGATTATACATACATATACGTGCATTTCAACTAAACAAATTGCTTTAATATAATAATTAATATTATTGAAGCTTAATTTCTATGTTCTTGAACTTTAGGAAAGATATTAAACTTTGTTTTGTGGGTTTTTAATATGTATTCGAAATTCCAGATTCGAGAATATTTTTTAGAATGTCCATCCCTGACCTACATGTTTCTACCAGTGTATGCATATATATATATCTATCCGAACACAACGACATATACAAATTCATTTTCTCTCGCCCTTTAAGCATGAATCAAAAAATACTAATCTCCTCACCAAGCCTTAGCTGGAGTGAAATCGAGCCTGAACTTGTATTTTATGGGAACTGTGAAATTTTTCTTTTGTTATCATAGTAGTTACAGCATTTAAAACCAAATTTACTACACTAATGGCCACCCACATTCTCTTACTCTCTTTATTATAGAGTCTTTATATTTTTGAACGAGACTCCAGATGAGTGATACTGTATTTTTAATTTATACAGAGCGATAGCTGTGGTGTAGTATCTCACATGTAAGGACTGTCTAAATAAAATAATACTGCAGTATCTATTTATCTGATGCATTGGTCAGAGCCAAAATAGTAGAAGGTTGAAAAGTTTGCTACTAGTATAGAAAATATGTTTTCAAATCTTTTAATTATTGTGATAACAAATGTACTTTATAACATCAACACGGAGTATCTCGAGCAGAGGGGGGGCAAGGTTTTTAGACCGGGGGCCAACAATTTTGCCCATCTAGGCTGTCGAGCCATGTAAGCGTGACGTAAAAGTTACATTTTATGTGAACATAATGTATACAGTGTTACAAAAGCAACAGGGAAAACAATAAGCCTTGTGCCAAAAACTAAATCTATTCACAATCTTGACAGATCCCTGATCCCAAAACATCACAATTTGGTTTTAGTTTGGTTGTGGCTTGACCCGCGAGCCTTAGATTGTTCTTCATTGGTATAGACTCTAAGGCAGGGGTGTGCAACTGGCGGCTCGCGGGCCACAACCCGGCCCTCCAAGTCATTTAGTGTGGACCTAATCAACACTCAAAAATTTTTCCACATCAAGCCCAAAATCTTATTCTGACAGTTAATGTTTAGAAAGGCTATCTATCATATGAATAAAAATACACAAGGTTTTTTGCTGTTGTCACTGTGTTAAACCTTTTGCCGTTTTATCAAGTGCATTTATTTCTGTAAGGGTAAGCGATAGCCGCATTCTTTTCTGTTGGCTTTCCAGCTAAATTTTTTGTGTGGCCCCGCTAGATGTCTGAAGTTGGTTGTATGGCCCGCTGATAAAAAATGTTGCACATCCCTCTGATCCCTGCTCTAGAGGGAGGGCCATAGGAGCAACCGTCTTGAAGTGAGTTTGTTGCTTAGTATGATAATTTGAATAATATCAATACAAACATTTCACCCTACTTCAACTTTAAAATATTTATTCATGTGTATAACAAGAAATATATTTTGTCTATTCCCAAAATTATTTTAAAGAATAGGTATAAGGGGCATCATTATCAGAAACTCACCCTGGGCAGCAGTTTGACACACTCCTTATTCTCGAGTTATTGATGCAACAAGCAATTAAATAAATTTACCATTTTTCAATACAACGTTAATCAACAGGGATAATAATATTTGATCAATTCTTTTATATCTTAAAGACTAGCTCAAAAATCTCAAGTCAAATCTCTCTGGTGGTAACTTCGAGTCTTTTAAAGGGGGATTTGAGTAAATAAATGATTAAATTCTCTCAAATGAATATTTTGACTCCTACAATATACAGGGTGTCTCAAAAGTAAGTATAGCCTACAATTTATATTTTAATTTGCTTTCCAGGCACTAATCATAGAGCGTTAATATCTTCAGAAAATATAATATGGATAAGTAGTAAAATTTAGGTATTGTTTGCATTTTTCATCAACCCACAGAATGACAAGGAGATTAACCCAAGAAAAGAGGTGCAAAATTGCTGTTGGGCAATAAGCATATATAATCAGTAAGCCAAACCAGTGAGACACCCTGTATATAGTCACCGACTGTGTAGAGTCTTGTTCTGAACAAATATTAAATGATTTTTTTTCCTATAAGAGGCATGAGCTCATTAATGAGAATCTTTTGGAATGCTAATATTTCATCCATGCTAATTTTATTTTTAATTTTCCGCCCTATATTTAGGCACATGGAAAGTTTCAGATACAAGTCACCAAGCTCACTATTCAGGAAACGTTTTCATCGTTATCAGTTCATTTAGATTTGATATTTTCCGATTTTCATTGGATGACCAATCACCAGTATTTATGGGTGTGACGCACCAGATCAGATCATATTTGAATTTTTGAGCTATTTTGTGTTACAATAACCCACAAAGCCCCGATTATTAGGAAATCACCCCATTTTCAAAAAACAAAATTTAAAAAGAAATAACATGATTTAATCGAAGTACATATTGAAAGGTAACAGGAAATCTAGGTAAAATGCTGAAAACAAAATAAAATGTTATCAGTCCAAGTAGATTTTTGATTTTTAAATTTTCATTCACGGACGACTAGTACTTATGGACATGAGGTATTGTTTGAACTAAGTCACAAATCTTAATGCGACAAGTAATAATGCAAAACCTTGTAATGCTGAATATGTTATGTTTTTAGTTTTAGAAACTTTAGTTTTCGAATTTTCCTGAAATGCCCACAGGTATGTATGAATAATATGTATGAGACAGTGTTGGGACCAAATCACAAAGTTGCTGCAGCAAGCAAGTGAATTTACAACTTTTCCAATACAACATCAATCAACATGTAAAATCAGATTATATCAATTTTTAATTTCAAAGATTTCACAAAAATTACTTCAAAGTTCCAATTCAAATCTTTCTGGTGGTAACTTTATATTAGTCATTTTGTTTGGTCACGTCACTTCAAGTCTTTGAAAGATTGTGACTCAAGTAAATAAATGACTATAATCTCTTGAATACTTATTTTGACTCCTACAATATTAGGTATATAAATATATACATACCAATCCTCCACTAAACCCATTTTCAGTTCAAATTTATGCTGTTTAGTCATTCATGCTCATCACATGAAGTCTCCTCTTACCTTTGCATTGCGAGTGTTTTCTTTAAATGCTTTCATTTCTTCTGCTGTCAGATTGCAATCCCAAGCCATGGATACCTCCACATGACATTGTGTAACAACTAATCCAAGTTCACCAAAACCATCGGTTCCAAGGTTCTTGTTGCCACTGACATCTAGTTGATTCAGCTGAAATGAATAAGAACTGTAAAAATATTTCACATGATGAAAATACAAACAAAACTATAGAATTCACTGCACTGATGGTTCACATTGCAACAGAATGAAATGAATTAAAGTTTTTATATGGCAGGCTATAGAACCACCTAATCTAGGTTGCTGTAAAACAAAGGTGTCCAACAGTTTTAGACGAAGGGCCATATAACAAACTTCAGACATCTAACTGGGCCACCTTGACATGAGAAATTATTACATCACAATATGTTGTTAACAAGCCTGCAGCAACCAAAATATATTAGCTATCAGACTGCCATGTGGAGGGCAATATAAGAGAATGAAGCTATCGCTTAGCCTCACAGTAATGAATATAAGGGAAAGATATACCACAGTGACAAGACCAGAAACATTAAGTATTTTTACCCATGTGAGTGCCTTTTTAAATATAAACTGTCAGATTAGAATTTTTAATGCTTCATGGGGAAATCTGAGTGTTGACTAGGACCATATATGGCATTATTACATTACAATATGTTGTTAATACGCCTGCAGCAACCAAAATATATTAGCGACTACCAGAGCGCCATGTGGAGGGCAATATAAGAGAATGAAGCTATCGCTTAGCCTTACAGTTAAGTATGCACACGGAAAGATTTAACACAGCGACAAGACCGAAAACATTATGTATTTTTACCCATGTGAGTGCCTTTTTAAATATAAATTGTCAGATTAGAATTTTTATGCTTCATGGGGAAAATATGAGTGTTGACTAGGATATGGCAATCATATGGCAAACCAAGTCCTCTCGTCCGGTTATCATACCATGTAGATTGTAGAGTATGAGATTAGTCACTTAGACAGTTTTCAGATGCAGACTTTATGGTGGAGGGAGCCGTAACTGACCAGCGGTTACGTGAACCACGACGAGGAGGCCAGCAATCTTGTCGCATATAATCAAAACCACATGGGATTCAAACCGGCAAGCCTACAAAGAGTAATCAGAGATGCGGTGACGAGCTTATTCCAAACGCTTATCATGATGTACCACACCGTCAAGCCAAAAATAGCCCTCCAATAAATCTGAATTAAGGCAGTTTTACACATGAAAGTCTTATTAATCCAACCTTACATACAAATATTTTGCCAAATGATTTTTGTTCATATAGCAAACAAATGTACATACATATACCGTACATGCGTTTCAACTAAACAAATTGCTTTATTATGATAATATCATTGAAGCTTAATTTCTATGTTCTGGAACTTTAGGAAAGATGTTAAATTTTATGTTTTGTGGGTTTTAAATATGTATTCGAAATTCCAGATTCGAGAATATTTTTTAGAATGTATTCAGAGTAGCCCAGTATTCAGTAATGGCCAAGGCCATCCCTACTAATAACCCAAATAAATTGAATAATGAGTTGTATTCAAAAATTATTCCAAAATCAGAAATTATTCAGAAATTATTGAACATGATGGAAATACAAACGAAACTATAGAATCCACTGCACTGAGGGTTTGCATTGCAACAGCATGAAATAAATTAAAGTTGTGATATGGTAGGCCATTGAACCACTTAATCTAGGTTGCTGTAAAACAAGGGTGTGCAACATTTTTTGTCGGTGGGCCATATAACAAACTTCAGACATCTAGCTGGGCCACCTTGAAGGATTATTACATCACAATATGTTGTTAACAAGCCTGCAGCAACAAAATACATTAGTGACTATGGCCAAGGCCATCCCTACTAATAACCCAAATAAATTGAAGGAGTTGTATTCAAAAATTATTTAAAAATCTTGAGGCTGTAATAAAACACTACAGCATGACGAGACCAAACATCATATTACTCGTTTCTAGTCATGAAAATGGACCAATGCCTCCTCCCTCTCTCTTGGTAGGCTAATGTCTCCCTATTCCCGAACTAAGAATTCATCTCCAAGAACCTAATATGTCACAGCATTGCATTGCCCAACACAGTTGACCGAACAAAGCTAAGTTGAAAAACCTTTGCACATCAAAGTGTGTGTGACACCTCAACAAACCAAAATTGTACTTTGTGTGTCAAGATTGCTTACCTCATTCGTGTTAAGGCTGTTAGGACTTGGGAGGACAAAAATGAAAACTATAACATTAATACTCAAATACACTAAACATATTTTATGTCAGCAATAAACAATTGAAATCTGAAAGTGAAAACTTACAAAAAGAAACCGCTTTGTAATATAAAATTATTCTTACTTGGGTCAACGGAAATGTTTAATGTAAAAATAAAATAATATAAAAGAAAATTAAAACTAGAGCTCGACCGATATATCGGCCAACCGATATATCGGGCCGATACTGCGTGATTGCCGATATATCATATAGCAAAACAAACAAATTTCAATAATAATACATAAATAATAATTATACATGTAAACCGCCGATATATATCGGCAAAACTCGGGCAAGCGTCGGGGTGCGCGGTTCAACGACTCTCGCCCTGCATAACTGGCTTCCCAATATTTCTCTCGCTTCCATTTTGCGTTAAAAATATGTCTTTCATAATTCCCCGGTGGCATATGATTTTCCATTTTATGCATGGTCATAACTGAAAAGGTATTATCCGGAGTAACATTTGAGAGAGTACACAATGAGAAAAAGGCAAATTTAGTACCGATAGAAAACGCTAGTTCTATAATTAGAATCGGTTTAAAGCTGGTGAGTTAGTAATCACAGAAACAAGGTACAGGTAGCTCAAAGCAATAATGTATCAAAGTAGTTCCAAATTTGTGACCTTCCTAAATTAAATTTTGAATTTCTCGGGCAACAGTTTTATCTATATTGATGGTTGTCTTGTTTATCATTTTGCTGATAATTACACAAAAAAATCATAATCCATCATAATTGGCAAAATAAGGTATTGAGAGTCTCTGGAAACAAAGTTATCGAAAATATCAGCAGTATTTCACATGTAAATGCACATACGTTATCACAATATTGAAGGATTTTATCATTATCATGATTCACTTCAAAATATATCGATTTCTAATTTTTCGTTACCCTTAACATATGTCCACAGTTATATTTAAAAATGACAGATAATAATTATTTTTCCTGGAAAAGGGTAGACCGATATTGGACTCGCAGAAAAAGTTACAGAATAACATTTGCTCAAGCAATAACTGGAGTTAGTTAAATATAATTCATACTGCAATGATAATAAATATCAAAATGAAACTACAGACTCACGAGGTACATTATAAAAGCCCATTGTGTGGCTCACAATATAATTTATAATAATATCGGCATATCGGTATCGGTTATCAGCCACTAGTTGGCCGATATATCGATATCGGCATCGGCGCCAAAACGTGATATCGGTCGAGCTTTAATTAAAACTATGACATAAGCATTTCTCTAAAAATTATGGTTTGGGCATAAATTCAAGTTGAATCTGATATCGCTTCACAAAAAAAGAATGGCTCCTGCACTATTTGGCCAAATTCTGACCAAATTCAGAGATGGTCAGTGTATGCACATATATATCTATCCGAACACAACGACATATACAAATTCATTCTCCCTCTTCCTATAAGCATGAATCAAAAAATACTAATTTTCTAACCAAGCCTTAGCTTGAGTGAAATTGAGCCTGAACTTATTATTATTATGAGTATTTTATGGGAACTGTGAAATATTTCATTTGTTATCATAGTAGTAACAGCATTTAAAATCAAATTTACTACACTAATGGTCACCCACATTCTCTTACTCTTTTTAATATAGAGTCTTTATATTTTTGAACGAGACTCCAGATGAGTGATACTGTATTTTTAATTTAAACAGAGTGATAGCTGTGGTGTAATATCTCACATGTAAGGACAGTCTAAAATAAAATAATACGGCAGTATCTATTTATATGATGCCTTGGTCAGAGCCAAAATAGTAAAAGGTTGAAAATTTTGTGATTAGTATAGAAAATATGTTTTCAAATCTTTTAACTATTGTGATAACAAATGTACTTTATGACATCAACACGGAGTATCTCGAGCAGAAGGGGGGGCAAGGTTTTTAGACCGGGGGCCAACAATTTTGCCCATCCAGGCTGTCGAGCCATGTAAGCGTGATGTAAAAGGTACATTTTAGGTGAACAATATGTTTACAGTGTTACAATAGCAACATGGAAAACAATAAGCCTTGTGCCAAAACTAAATTTATTCACAATCTTGACAAATTCCCTGATCCCAAAACATCACAATTTGGTTTTAGTTTGGTTGTGGCAGCATCAGACGATGCGGATTGAATTACCCAACGGGCCGGATTTGACCCGCGAGCCGTAGTTTGTTCTTCATTGGTCTAGACCAGTGCTCTTCAACAGGGGTTGCGCAATATATGTAGTGGGGTTCCGTCAGTTTATTGGGTTCCTTAGGGGTTCCGCGTTTTTTTTTTCAGGGAAAATTAATTCTTGCTTGAGCATGTTGATGCGTCGTTGCAAAGTTGTTTAAAGAGTGTTGTAGGCATAAGTATGAGAATTGCATTGAGCACCGTGGAGCCACGATTCAAGAAGATTGCATAGGAAATGCAAGAACAACCTAGTCATTGAATTTCGTGCTCATTACCGTCTTTCTGTTTCATTGTTGAAGTCGAAATATTTGAATTACAAATATTTCGTGTTACGGATTTTTCCTGTTTTTTTTTAAATTGTGTTAATTGGGGTTCCATAAAAAACGAAAAATTATCTCAGGGGTTCCACAATAACAAAAACTCTAAATCAAGGGTGTGCAACAACCCGGCCCGCCAAGCAATTTAGTGTCGACCTAATCAACACTCAGATTTTTCCACATCAAGCCCAAAATCTTAATCCGACAGTTAATGTTTAGAAAGGCTATCATATGGATAAAAATACACAATGTTTTTTGCTGTTGTCACTGTGTTAAATCTTTTGCCGTTTAATCAAGTGCATTTATTTCTGTAAGGGTAAGCGATAGCCGCAATCTTTTCTGTTGGTTTTCCAGCTAATTTTTTTGTGTGGCCCGGCTAGATGTCTGAAGTTGGTTGTATGGCCCGCTGATAAAAAATGTTGCACACCCCTGCTCTAGAGGGAGGGCCATAGGAGCAACCGTCTCGAAGTGAGTTTGTTGCTTAGTATGATAATATGAATAATATCAATACAAACATTTCACCTTGACTTCAACTTTAAAATATTTATTCTTGTGTATCTAGCCAACAACAAATCTATTTTGTCCATTCCCAAAATTATTTTAAAGAATAGGGGCATCATTATCAGAAACTCACCCTGGGCAGCAGTTTGACACCCCTATTCTCGAGTTATTGATGCAACAAGCAATTAAATAAATTTACCATTTTTCAATACAAGGTCAATCAACAGGGATAATAATATTTGATCAATTCTTTTATATCTTAAAGACTAGCTCAAAAATCTCAAGTCAAATCTCTCTAGTGGTAACTTGAGTCAAGATATTTTGATTGTGCGAGTCGAGTTCCTTCGAGTCTTTTAAAGGGGATTTGAGTAAATAAAAGATTACCTAAATTCTCTCAAATGCTTATTTTGACTCCTACAATATACAGGGTGTCTCAAAAGTAAGTACCGGTATACACTTTTAATTTTAATTTGCTTTTCGGGTAGTTATCATAGAGCGTTAATATCTTCAGAAAACATAATATGGATAAGTAGTAAAATTTAGTTATTGTTTGCATTTTTCATCAACCCAAAGAATGACAAGGAGATTAACCCAAGAAAAGAGGTGCAAATTGCTGTTGGGCAATAAGCATATATAATCAGTAAGACAAGCCAGTGAGACACTCTGTATATAGTCACCGACTGTGTAAAGCAAAAATTAGATGATTTTTTTTAATTATAAGTGGCATGCGTTAGAGATAGGGATTAATATTTTGTTGCATATTCCCTTTAATACATGCACAGACCACCAATCCTCTAATAAACTACCGGTAATTATCAGTTCAAATTTATGCTGTTTAGTCATTCATGCTCATCACATGAAGTCTCCTCTTACCTTTGCATTGCCAGTGTTTTCTTTAAAAGCTTTTATTCCTTCTGCTGTCAGATTGCAATTCCCAGCATCAAATGTCTTTACCTGGCATTGTGTAACAACTAATCCAAGTTCACCAAAACCATCGGTTCCAAGGTTCATGTTGTCACTGACATCTAGTTTATTCAGCTGAAATAAATGAGAACAGTGGAATTATTGAACATGATGGAAATACAAACGAAACTACTGCACTGAGGGTTCACATTGCAACAGAATGAAATGAATTAAAGTTGTGATATGGCAGGCTATTGAACCACGTAATCTAGTTTGCTATAGAACAAGGCTGTGTAACATTTTTTGTCAGTGGGTCGTATAACAAACTGCATACATTTAATTGGACCCCCTTGAGAGATTATTACATCACAATATGTTGCAACAAGCCTGCAGCAACAAAATACATTAGTGACTAGCAGAGTGCCATGCGGAGGGTAAAAAAGGAGAATCGAGTTATCGCTTAGCCTCACAGTAATGAATGCACAGGGAAAGATTTAACACAGCGACAAGACCAAAAAGCATTTTGTATTTTGCCCCAGAAAATTAATTAATTCAGTTATCACTTATAGATAAAAAGTTAATTTTTACTATACAATCAAAAGTTCTAAATCAAGGATTGCGAACCTTTATACTTATTGGAGAACATTTTCTTTTCGACATTTGGATAATTCAATGGTATTGCAGCTAATGCTTGCTGCAGAATTTACATATTATACATAAAACAGTTATGACATAACAATAGATTATACCGGTAAGTCACTCTCTTTCACTGAACTAATTTGGTACGGTAAGCCTACTCACAAAGCCTAATGTACACTTTGTGATCCACAAGTCAGTGGTCCACCATCTTTGTTCTAAATCAACATGTTGGACCACAATCAATGTTTGGAGAGGGCAGTCAATAAACTTATGACTGTGTTTCCAGAGTTTATATCATTAAAATTAAAGAAAATACACAAGCAAATGTATTTCAGTTTCCAAGTTCAAAGGTAGTGGTATTCAAATATTTCCTATAGATAAAAATGCACGTGTTTTCTAACTTTTGAAAATGGTTGGGTCCATTGCACTGCCATGATACTGCATTTGGGGTTACGATGAAGTTAAAACAATGCACCAAAACTGCAATTCACGACGACGTAATGCGTTCGTTCGTTCACAGCAAAATTCCGCAGTTATGTGTAGCCCGCCTGACGTCTTTGCCTGATGGCGTTTGGTGAATATTTTGCAAGTCCTATTTTAAACATCGACCATTAATCCATAGTCAGCCAGCATCCGCATTTTAGAAATGAAACATCAAAAATCATGAAAATTAAATTTGGAGAGAACTCGCAGATGTCAGTAGCGTCATAATGGTTTATATGTACAAAAACACACTCGCATGTAGCGCCAATCAAATTCATGAAATGTGGAACTATTACTTGAAAATTATTGTTATTAATGAAGTTGATTTTTTGTTGCAATTCAATGATTATTCACATGCGCCGTGATTGGTGGAAGGCAAAATTGTATTTTTTGATATTCGAATATTTTTAGCGTACACCGTATAATGATTATTGTCATTTTGAACAACATTATTTGGAATGTCGGCGCCGAAACGATCGCCGTGACATTGAATATTTTTTTGGGATTTTTCAAGAAGACTGAAAACTCCGTAACAATGCGGCCTTTTTTATTTCATAATTTTGTCATAATCGAAGGCTGCAGTAAACTTTTGTCACCGCAATCGTTTCGGCGGCTGACATTCCAATTAATGTTGTTAAACTATATTAAAGCACTCTTTTTATTCGCAGCAAATATTAATTCTCACGTAACGACGGATATCGTAGTTTGGTTTTTATATTTCGGACAGAAGTGTGAATTCATATCGGCGAAGATTTTAAAGACAACTATTAAGGAGTGCATTCACAACAAAAATTAATTTTGTTCTGATTTTTATCTTCTGTGTAGGATTTGTATCACAGTTTGTAAATTACGTTCCCAATATTAAGCGAACGATATTATTATTACTGACCCCGGGATGCGATATTTGTGAAGCGGGAAGTTGAAATTTCTATGATTTGAATTTTAGATCGTGTTCGTGTTACTTTTGTATTAAATAATATTTGAAAAAATACGCAAATTGGTAATCTCTTGAATACTCAGTGTTGAGTATTTACGTAACTCAGCTTTGGGTTAGAACACTGATAGTAACTAAACACGCAAAAAAAATCGGCAATAATGGCATTTCTACGTGGTCAAAATAATATTTCTCCCCAATATCTCATGAAACTTCCATAAAATACATTATTTACTTGTCTTACTTATCGGTTTCGACGTTTCTAATATTACAAAAACGATGTTGATACGCTTTATGCAAAATCTTTTCAAATTTATCGTTTCTACTTGTTTTGCTTTCCAATGCGCTTGTATTTGTATTAATAAAAGTGGGGTACGACCCATGTAACCCCCCCCCCATCCCTTCCTGCTGGCTGCGCCCCTGAGCGTATTCTAAATGCTCATCTGGATGCGCCTCACCGCCGAGCCAAAAGTGGGCCTCCAATAAATCTCTATTAAGGCAGTGATACACAAAAAAAAGTCCTATTTATCCAACGTTACATATAAATATTTTGCTAAATGATTTTGTTCATATAGCAAACAGTTATACATACATGTATGTGTATTACAACGAAACAAATTGCTTCATTATGATAATATTATTGAAGCTTAATTGCTATGTCCTCGAATTTAAAAAAAGTTAAAGTAATGAATTTTATGCATTGTGGGTTTTCAATGTATTTGAAAGTCCAGATTCAAAAATATTTTTTAGAAGGTATTCGTATTGAGTTATGGCCATCCCTACTAATACCCTAAATATGATCAATAATGAGTTGTATTCAAAAATTATTCGAAAATCTTGAGGCTGTAATAAAACGCTACGGCATGACGAAACCAGACATCGAAGAACTCGTTCCTAGTCATGAAAATGGACCAATGTCTCCTCCCTCTCTCATGGTCGACTAGTGTCTCCCTATTCCCGAACTAAGAATTCATCTCTAGGAAACTTAATACGTCACAGCATTACATTGCCGAACACAGTTGACCGAACAAAGCCAAGTTGAAAAACCTTTGCACATCAGAGTGTGTGTGACACCTCAACAAACCAAAATTGTACTTTGTGTGTCAATATTGCTTACCTCATTCATGGTAAAGCTGTTAGGACTTGGGAGGATAAAAATGAAAACTACAACATTCGTACTCAAAGACACTTGACATATTTTATGTCAGCAATAAACAAATATATTGTTTGAAATCTGAAAGTGAAAACTTACAAAAAGAAACCGCTTTGTGATATAAAATTATTCTTACTAGGGTCAACGGAAATGCCTCATCTAATAAAAAAATAATATAAAAGAAAATTGAAACTATGACATAAGCATTACTCTAAAAATTATGGTTTGGGCATAAATTCAAGTGGAATCTGATATCGCTTCACAAAAAAAACAATGGCTCCTGCACTATTTGGCCAAATTCTGACCAAATTCAGGGATGGCATCCCTGACCTAGATGTTTCTAACAGTGTATGCACATATATATCTATCCGAACACAATGACATATACAATATCATTCTCCCTCTCCCTTTAAGCATGAATCAAAAAATACTAATTTCCTCACCAAGCCTTAGCTGGAGTGAAATCGAGCCTGAACTTGTATTTCATGGGAACTGTGAAATTTTTCATTTGTTATCATAGTAGTAACAGCATTTAAAATCAAATTTACTACATACACTAATAGCCACCCACATTCTCTTACTCTCTTTATTATATAGTCTTTATATTTCTGCTCTGAACAAGACCTTAGGTACTGTATTTTTAATTTAAATAGAGCGATAGCTGTGGTGTAATATCTCACATGTAAAGACTGTCTAAAATAAAATAATACTGCAGTATCTATTTATATGATGCTTTGGTCAGAGCCAAAATAGTAAAAGTGCCTGATAACTAAATATGGTACTCCTGAACCAAGATGTCGCATAACCTGAACCCTAATCTGGTACACTACCTGGGTTCAGGTTGTGCGCCATCTTGGTGCGCATACTTTAGGAGGTCTATAAATATTAATGTAATGGCCGAACAATGTAATTCACGCCGGGTGTTTCTTCTTGCAACCAGCTTAAACAGTGTTACAAAAAAATGCTGCAAATATGTTAGAAAATTTAGTAATTATCCTTCTGTATCTCAAATTTGGTGAAATTCGGTAATTAATTAATCTCAGTCATTTATAAGTTAATTTTTAAACATGAGTATGAAAAAAAAGTTGAATAACAGATTTTTAACTGAATATGGGAGGGAAAATATCACAATAATTGCTTAATATGTCTGCATGTTGTTTCGGTGACAATCTAAAACGGTATTTTTTCCCTATATCACTTTTTCCGAGATGAGGCGTTTGAAATCTTACACTAAATGTATATACAGTAAGATTTTTGCACGTTATACTTTATTTGGTGGTTTGGCTTTATTTGGTGTTTGGACAATAAAGTGTTTGTTTTGTATTGCACTAATTACCTATTCTTGGCACTATTGTGGCCCGCGAACGATACGAAAATGATAATGTGGCCCGCGAGGCCGGCAACCTTGGACCACCCTGTGGTAGGCCATTGAACCACCTAATCAAGGTTGCTGTAAAGCAAGGGTGTGCAACATTTTTTGTCGGTGGGCCATATAACAAACTTCAGACATCTAGCTGGGCCACCTTGAAGGATTATTACATCACAATATGTTGTTAACAAGCCTGCAGCAACAAAATACATTAGTGACTACCAGAGGGCCATGCGGAGGGCAATAGAAGAGAATGAAGCTATCGATTAGCCTTACAGTAATGAATGCACGGGGCAAAAGATTTACTAAAAAGAAAGAGCAAGATTTAATGCAGAGACAAGGCCAAAAAGCATTACCTATGTATTTGTACTGATGTGAGAGCCCTTTTAAATATAAACTGTCGGATTAGAATTTTATGCTTGATGGGGAAAATCTGAGTGTTGACTAGGACCACACTAAATGTCTTGGAGGGTTGGATTGTTGCCCGCGGGTTGCCTGTTGCACATCCCTGCTGTAGAATGTATTTCTGCCGCTAGTGGGCGCCATTAGTAATCCATTGAAAGGGAATTAGATTATGTCATCTTTCAATATTAAGTTTTGCTTCAGATTATCAAAGACCTGTCATTAAAAGTAGCTAATTACTTATAGATAAAAAGTTGATATTCACTATACAATCAAAAGTTCTAAATCAAGGATGGCGAACCTCCATACCTATTGGAGAACATACATTTTTTTGGCATTTGAATAATTTAATGGTATTGCATCTAATGTTAGATGCTAAATTGACATATCACATATGAAACAGATATGACATAACAATATAGGGAGTCACTCTCTCTCACTGACTAGTATGGTAAGCCTACTCATAAAGCATAATATACACTTTGTGACCTACAAGTCAGTGGCGGTTCACCACCCTTGTTCCAAATCAACATGTTGCAAGCACAAACAATCTTTAGTAAAGGCAATCAATAAACTTGTGACTGTGTGTTGCTAGAGTATATGCCACTAAAATTGAAGCAAATACGATGGATTTCAATTTCCAACTTCAAAGATAGTGGTATTCAAATATTTCCTATAGATTTAAAATAAAAATGCACTAATATGCCAACCTTTGAAAGTTATTGGGTCCATTGCACTGCCATAATACTACATTTGGGCTGATGGCCTTAGGGCCCTTTCCGCCATGCATTCTAATTTCTGTACAGATTTTGCTTTCTAATCCTGTGCTCGGCAAACGGTGGGCCGCGGTCCAATCGTGGGCTGCTGGGCATTTTCTAGTGGATAGGATAGGTTTTACATATTAATCCCGGGGGAGACGAAAGCTGATAAAATGGCCTAATCATATGGCACACCAAGGCCTTTCGCCCGATTACCATTCCATGTCGGGTATGGGATTAACTAGTTAGCCAGTTTTCAGATGCATAGACTTGGCGGTGTAGGAACCCGTAACCGACCAGTGGCAATCTTCTCGCATATAATCAACCTCGCATGGGATTCAAGCATGCGAACCCACACAGGATAATCAGAGATGCAGACGTACTCCTAACACTTATCAGGATGTGCCAGACTGCCGAGCCAATAGTGGGCCTCCAATAAATCTTAATTATGACAGTGATACACAAAAAAGTCCTTATAATCCGACATTACCTATAAATATTTTGCCAAATGATTTTTGTTCATATATCAAACGATTATACATACCTTACATATACGTGCATTTCAACTAAACAAATTTCTTTATTATGATAATTTTATTGAAGCTTACCTAATTGCTATGTCCTTGAATTTTAAAGAAGTTAATAACTTTTTAGATTGTATTTAGGGATTTTAGAATGTATTCCAAATTCCAGATTCGAAAATATTTTTCAGAATGTATTCAGAGTAGTCCAGCATTCGGTTATGGCCATCCCTACTAATAACTCAAATACATCAAATAATGAGTTGTATTTAAAAAAATTCAAAAATCTCATCGCTAGTTTTGTTTTCTTAAGTTATTCTGTACTAAAACCAAATATAGGTTTGCCTTATCTAATAATAAAATTATATAAAAAGAAAATTAAAACTGAAACAAGAATTTTATTTTAACAAATATGGTTTGGGCATAAACTAAAGCGGAATCTAATATCGCTTTACAAAAAAAAATGGCTCCTACACTATTTGACCAAATTCTGACAATTTTTGCGTGTTTCTTCCCCGACCTCCATTTTCTACCAGAGTATGCAGATATATATCTTTCTGAACACAACAACATATACAAATTCATTCTCCTTCTGCTTTTAAGCATGAATCCAGAAATACTAATTTCCTCACCAGGGCTGGGCGTTTCGAAACAGTGTTTTTACTGCCGTCAGCATATTTTTCGCGGGCATCTTCTCAAACATGTTAACTTTATATTTGGGTTGCTATATTATATAATGTAATGTCAATATTAGTATTAATTAATAATATTATTAATTGACTTTATACTGCCACCTATTATTTGTCCTAACCTTTTTAAAGACTACTTTGTAATAATAACGTTGCTCGTGGGATGAAGTACTCTCTATTTACACACGTTATTGGTAAGTCAAAAAAAAGAGAATAGCTATTTAGATATATATGACCCTTCGGTTTTGCCAATTCGGGGAACAAAAAAAACGACACCAGACTGGAAACACACCTGTTAACCAACCCGTGGATGAGCATTGTAGTACTTATCACACTGTTCAAGCTTCATAACATTCAAATGTTATTTCATCGTTCCAGTTAATAGGTTGTTCAAAATGATTGGTACTAGCTTTTTAACCAGATAATAACGCGATATTGTTTAGAATAGTTAATTCAGTGAATATGATTGTATCGAAAAAAACATAACTGGTTCTAACCCTATAAAACTGACCAACAGAGAAAACATTTTTTGCTCGTTTTATTGGAGGGCTATATAGAAAAACCCACTTTTTGAGTGCTAAAAACAGACATTGTCTTATTTGCTGGGTAGACTTAGCCGTGAAATACGGTATTTCTTATACAATGAATGTTTCCCCATTCATTGACTGACTTGCTCATCTCTGTAAAAATGACCAATTAGCAATAAATTGAAGGTAATGCAGCAATTGGAACCTCTATGACTCTCTTTACACTCAAAAAAAAGTTTCAAACAGTTCTTCAATCCTCCATCGCAAGATTCGAAGCTGACTTGCAATTGTTACCAATGAATTAGGAAAAAAATTTTCGGGTGAAATATTCTACTCAGAAAAAAATTATAATTTATAAAAATTGTGACGGAAAGTAGAATGCCTTCTAGCAGACAACAGCTTCAACTATTTATTCAAAATTTGAAACTGGAAAAATAGCACTGCAGAAGTATTTGTACCAATGTGGGAGTAAGGTAAACTATCCTAAGGAAAAATGCCCTGTTACGAATACTATGAGAGCACCAAAACAACAAAAAGAAAAATTACCAAAAATTATTCAACATTTGATTGTAAAGACTCTTCATACAGAATACAAGGAAAACATCTCTGTAATAGCACAAGCACTATAAGATAGCGCCAGATTGTGCTTTATGTTGTGCCATGTTGCAATGCCCAAAAAGAGCAATTTGTAGAAATCTCTACCATTTTCACAAAATTTCAAGAAAAAATGCGATTTTTTTTTCAACGTACATGTTAAAAGCTAATAGGAAATCTAGATACAATAGTGTTGAGCTAGATTTTGTCTTTATGGTTATATATAACGACATGCAATATTAAAGTGGTATCAACCATTAACTCTCTTTTTTTTAATTACACTCCAGCCAATGAGTCGCCGGCCCCAGATAATCATGCTGCTGACAGCGGTTTGGACCACCTTGGCATAGCCAGTCCTCTCATGACTTCCCCTTCCCAAACTTTTTCTAAGGAGCGAGACACGCATTGTGTGTCTGAATGCAAAGTAATACATCGGCGACCTATTCAAAATTTAGTTTTGTCGAGATTGTAAAGAGCAAATCGATAGAGTAACTAACTATTCATTGATAATCACATTGCAAGTGGTGCAGCAGCAGGTTTCTGGTTTGAAATGCCTCTTTTTTTAAATTACTGTAGGACCGAAAAAGTCACCAATAAAACTGCGATTTTCACAGAGCTAATTTTGTTAAAATCTTTGATTGTCTTCGTCAGCTTAGTATGTAGTGTGGCTGTAAACATAGCGTTTTGGTCAGTAAACTCTAATTCCGCAAATACACTGTCTCTCTTCTCACGAAAAGATAATTAAAAGAGTAATCTGCACTTAAAATTTCGACTAAAAATAAGGGAGTGATGACTATGACTGAAAAAAGGTTCTATAAAATACTACAAATAAAACGAAAAATAACATACATTTTGTTTTACCAGCCACATGACAGATAAAGAGATTATTAGATGTTGTATATCGCGGCAGATATTATTATTATCGGTAATCTGAAAGGATACGATATAGTAACTCAAGTTTAAACAAGAGATCTTAAATAACCGTCCCGACGGCAATTCGCTTTTTTTATATAAATTATTCAATGTAAAGTATGTTCAATCACTTTTGTATTGTACTAATAAACATCTCGTGTACTCTTGTATTTTTGGGGATTTTATCTCAGATCTCGTAATCCTTTTAATGGCGATAACGAATCACAAGATCGCAATATTATGAATCAAATCTAAATAACATTGAATGGTTTACATGCAATTTTATGTCCGCAGATTGCCGGGATATTTTAAATAATTAAATTAACAGACATAATATCATGTACATCACAACTAGTGCTTGAAATTATGATAAAATATTTCAATCGCAATCCACTAAGTTTGAAATTATATGTTCACCTTTGAATAGGCTTACCATATTTCTAGAGCAAAAAAAAAAACGGGACGCCGCGAATTGGACAAGCCAACCTTGGTTCTATACCATGGGCTTGGTAATAGTTTGAACGTTTTTTATACCATTGTGGGTAGAATAAATAAATCAGAATTAGCTGTAAATCTTATTAAAATAACCTTTATTGTTCTTTGCTTCAAATAATGAAAATCGTTGAACTCATCAGAAAACTTGCACTTTGTTTCCGCATTTGATGATGCAACGACAGTACAGTTGGGTGTTAAATTAACGCATGGTTCATACTTCATATCACAACTATATTATACCAATTTTTCTCTCTATCTGAACTAGTGAAGTAAGACGTAAATCACTGGTAAATCGGCTGCCTCCGTTAAAAAATATTTTGTTTTTGTAATGGTATCAAATAGAAAAATTATTTATGACTGTCATACTGCAAAACCGAGATATTTTAGTCTATCGCCAGGACGACTGAAAAACATCCCAAATCGGGAATGTCGAATGGTAAACATACCTTTAAAGAAGAACCATTTAGATTTGACTTCAGGATATGAACCAACTCGGCATTGAGACCACACATGACGAGGCGAACCTGATCTAGTTGGCTGCAACGTCGCATGACCGATGACATGGCATGCATTCCTACTGAAGTGAAGGGTTCGTTTGAAAAATTGATGTCCTTGGTGCAGGAATGAATAAGATCGGCGTCATTAGCTTCGTATAATGTCCCAAACAGCTCCAACTTCTGATATGATTTCATTTTTTGACTTGATTGAGATGCGAGAAATTTTCTTAGAATTTCTCTTTTATCATCTTGTCTGGCACCTGGTAATTATGAAAATATTATGATTATTGTATGTGGTAAACGTAGGTTTTTATTGCGTGGGGATAATTATGGGTATACAGCACAATTGGACTTCTTGGAGTTATAGAGTGAAATAAAAAGTATCTGCCGACTGGTCATGGTTTGATCAGACTAGGGGGCCACAATTCAATATATGTTAATCAAATCCTCCTTGTTGACTTTTTCTTCCAAATAGGTAATTCCTAGTTGTCAAACTAAATCAAAATTGATGTAAAAGACATGGAATATTACTTACCAGAAGAAAGATTTGTTATGAGACTGCTTTCAATATCAGGATTCAGAATAATTCCACTTAGAAAACGTCGAACAACTGCCCAATGTTCGTCTCGAATCTCAGTTTCGATAAAAGTGCGAAATGTAGTAGAATCCATGTTTGAAATATAGAGAGCGGATAAAACTTCTTGAAGGATTTGATGGCTGAAGAACATTAAATGATCTCCTTCCATGAGATGCTGATTGAACATATTTTTCCCAGGTACCTTGATGACAAAGTCCCGAACCTCAAGAGGACTAAGCTTTACTTTTTCGAGATCCTTGATTGTGAAAATGACTCGCTTTTCTTTTGTGCCTTCGAATGACATTAGCATCAGTTTCTGGAGTATTTCTTCAATATGTTCCTTTTTATGGGCATGATCTGATCGCATGAAGATGTGGAGGATTTGTAGCATTACCTCAGTCATAGTATCTGGTGGATTATCTGGGTTGTCCTTGCAAACGATTGCATTGAATATTAGGAAAATAGGAACAGATGATAACGGGATGAGTGCGGGCGACTGCATCGTTAATTTCTCCCAAGCTTTTTCACCGCTGTCTCCTATAATTGCAATGAACAAACGCTTGATATCATTTTGAGCCAGACCAGCAAGGGCAGTTATGAATTGCGGCCTCAATTCTGATGGGAGTGATGCCACTCTGAACTCGCGCGAAGAAATCACGATCGTCATGTCAGGAAAGAGATTGCCTGTTATGATATTGTACATGACAGTTGCTGTGCTAGATTTATCAGTATATTTCATCTTGTTGTGTTTTCCGAGAAGACTCCAAGTTGCTTGATCAAGTCGGTCAAGGAAAAGAATTGACTTTGATTGATTTTGTTGCAGCCGTTCATAGCCTTCTTCCAATTCTTGTGGTGAAAGTCCTGAAGCTTCTTTCCCAAAAAGAAGTTCACATGGACTGATGGCTTCATCTCGTGTAGTTCCTTTTAAAACGGGGATATCTTTGATGTTCAAGTGATGAATAAATTCAAAGCGATGTTCCAGCTGCAATGCTTCATCGGCTTGGGATTCTTCTCCTAATTTGTTTGTGATATGAAGTGTTCGAGCAAGGCGTTTCATACTTGTCGTTTTTCCACCACCTGCCTGTCCCAATATGGCAATGTACCTGTATTTTTTGCTGCCTAATTGTTCTATGAGTTCACTCTGAGAAATAGGTTTTCCAACTTTTTCTTCCTTTGCTTTGACATTGAAATCAGTCTCGATATTATATTGCCTAGTCTTGGGGGCCATTTCTCCTCTGTAGAAATGTGGCACTTCTCTAAGTTGGGGATTTACTTCAAAGTCTGGTTCGTTTAAGTTTAGCTGTTGGTAATCTTCTGTGATTTTAACTTTTGTTCGCTCCAGAGTTCTCTTGTTGAAATAATCGATAAATTTTTTTGCATGCTTTCTTCGTTTCCTTTTTGCCTTTTTACCATTTCCTTTTTTTGTACAGATTCCTGAATAAGATATGAATGCATTTAATATTCAAGTTAAATAATGTTGTTATTGATATTGACATTATATACAGGTCTATACAAATATGTGACTTGAGAAAGTCAATGAAATCAAGTATTTTGTAAATGTTTTGAATTTGTACTTTGGTAATTTGAATGTGTTCATAGAAATAAACTCATTTTCTGGTTGTTTATGATGATGCAAATGTCCAGCCTTCACCCAGCATTCAATTAATCAAATATGAAACTCTTTGTTCTATCAAATCAAAATAAACACAAAGCATTAAAATAAAAAAGAATGAATATGAACGAGGTCTTATTTGACTAAAAGTCTATTTCGCTTGTGTTTTTGACTGTGCGAAACATTTCTAAATTATAAAATAGGACAATAGAAGGGCAAATTGTAAATACAGTTTGCAGCAGACATGTGAAAATGTGCGACTGAATATTTTCTTTGTGAATAAAAAACATCCTTTTTATGTACTTGATGATAAGTCCGTTTTTGATAGTAATTTAAGCGGATGCGCTGGCAAGAAAGCAAATTTCTCATGGACCAGCAAAAAAAAAACAGCAGACGGGAACCACTGAGCTAGAGCAGTATCGCGTTGATCGCTCTTCATTGTCACATAATTGAGATAGCTCTTGAATATTTGAGCGAAGTAAACTAAAGCAATGGCACTCTTGCACATCTTTCAAATCTAAGTGCCAATTATTAACAAGAAGCCTGTAGGCAGGGATGGCCAATACTGAATAATTCATTATTTCGAATACATTCAAAATTATTATTTTCGAATATGAAATTTCGAATACTTTGAAAATAAATTCAAGCGTATCGTATTGTATGGCGGAATTAGCATACAATGAATAATGGAATAACCGTTACCTACAAGCTGGCTACCAGAAAATTTATATCCGCCGATTGCCCTGCTATTTTATAGTAGTAAGTACTAGTTTAAGTACGAAAGAGCGAATCAAAATTAATTATAAGAGGGCAGTTTACCATTAGTTTTGTGTCCACAGATTGCCGTGGTATTTTAACGTTACTTTAATAAAAGACGACGCAACCATGAGTTAGGCTACATTGAACAAAAGTATATCAATACTGAAGGCATTTCAAATGCTGTTTGTAAATTAATACGGAAGGCATTTTAAATGCTGTTATCGGCCATGGATTTACGGTAAATATTTTGCACAACAGGTAAGTACATACTTTTAACAATCATTATCAAAACTATTTGCCAAAAGTGGATAAAAGTATGAATTATTTTTTTTTGTGAGTACGAAAATATGAATCAAAAATTAATTATAATCCAGGGGAAGGTCGCTGCGCTACCCGCGAGGGGAAATGTATGGAAATATTTTTAGTAAATTAAGAAGCATATGTTTGTTTGAAGTTTGTCGGAGGACCCGGGTCGTTGCGCCGGACGAATGACGGAAATTCGTCCGGCGCTGTGCCCCCGACTACTCTAGTCCATTAAGAAGTTCAAATACCCTGTAATAAACTGATCACCCCTAACCGGAGTCGCATTTTTCCAATTTTAAGGTCCGTGATCACTCAACCGTGACGAAATTTTTTTGACATAAACTAGACCTTAACTACCTTGTATGACCCGAATATGGCACCTCTACCTTCTACCATTCTCGAGATATAACGTGAAATCACTGGAGCGTGACTGAGGAGATGGAGAAATAAAATTTCTTTCAAAATAGATTCAAATAATTTTTCTAAACATGCCCATGCCTTTACTTTCTCTACAGGTCCTTTCAGAGGCCTGCAATAAGCCAAAATCACTAGACCATGACTGGGGAGTTAGAGAAAAAAAATTTCTTGAAAAAAGCATTAAACTAAATTTTCCCAACATACCTGTCTATTTTATTTCTCGATAGCTTCATTTTTAGGTGCGCACCCTTCTTACGCCACTGGAGGGCGATTGGGAGGGGGAAGTCCCAAGATTCAGGTGGTAAAAAATTCTATATATTAGTCCCTTTGAGATATAAGCATCACTTTGCCCAAAAACCAATTCCAAGTGCTCCCAATAGCCCAAAAACGATATTACCTAAGTGGGCGTGGCTTTCCACACGTTTTCTCGCCACTGGGGGGGCGGTGGCAGTGCCCCCACCCCCAATTACACTTGGAAAAAATCCCAATACTCGGGCAAACGCCCACTTAGGTAATATCGTTTTATATCGAATATTTATTTGTTAGTTTGCTTACTGCCCCCTACTACATGCCAAGTTTCGTCCCGATCGGCCCGCCAGTTTTCTGGGAAATGGTAACTCGATGGGTCTCAGCCAAGAGACTTCGTCACATTATTTTTGCCCTACGTGCAAAGTTCCCTGACCATTACTGTGCATACGCACTTTCAGTGCTACAAGTTTGCCTGACCATCCAGCATTTTACCACACACTATATATTTCCACAGATTACCGCTTTATTTTAAAGTTGTAATGCTTTTGTTTTTCGTAATTATAATCAGGCAGTTAACACACATTTCATGTCCACAGATTGTCGCCGTATCTTAGAGTAGTAATGCATTAATTTATTCGTGAGTCGGCAAAACTATGAGTTATGTTAAACACAATTAAATTAATACAACGAGTCATTTTAAATGCTGTTATCGGTCATGGATTTGAGTATTTTGTCGCAACATACAATCATCTTAGTTAAAAGTCCATATTTTCAACTATCATTATCAAAATTATTTTTCTAAAGGCGGAAAATAATATAAATTATTTTTCCGTCAGTACGAAAATATAAATCAAGAATTAATTGTAATCGGGCAGTTTACCACACATTTTATGTCCACAGATTGCCGTGGTATTTAGAGTTGAATTATTATTTGTTTTTTGTATGTACCGAAATAGGTATAAAAAATTAATTATAATTGGCCAGTTTACCACACCATTTATGTCCGCAGATTGCCGCGGTAATACTCTTATTTTTTCGTTAGTCGACGCGACCACGTGTTACGTTAATTAAACAAAACTAAATTAATACGGCAAGTCATTTTAAATGCTGTTATTGTTCATGAATTTGAATATTTCGTCGCAACGGGAAATCATCATGTTAAATAGTCGATAGTTTTGACTATCGTTATCAAAATTATTTGCCAAAAGCGGGAAAAAGTTTAAATGATTTTTTTCTAATAAATCAACTCGTTTTTTCGGACTTGAGACAACTTATTGGGCGTCGTAATTTCTAACAAAGGGCACGACTTTATTCAACTTATTTAATATCTGACTATTTGTATTTATGTGAGACCCGTGACTCAATACAAATGAATGCGTAAATGAGAAGCCATGAGGGAATGACGATAGTGCCAATCTCGACTGTGCAAATGTGTCGCAACAATACGGGGCGCGCGCTCGCACAGAAGATAACGAACAGTCAAAGTGCGGATACTATTTCACCGTCATTGCATTACGCGACAAAGCGTGCAAAATCGTTTGAAGATTTCTCTTTAAAACGAAACACCATGCTGACAGCAAAAAGTGGCTATTATTCGGAATTATTCGAAAATAAACCGAACCGATATACAATCGAATATTCGATTCATTTTGGACAACCCTGCCGGTAGGTGCCTAAGGTCTTCGCTGATACTCGAGGCGGCTCTTACTCCAGCAATCCTTTACCATCCTTTCAAAATTGCACCTATTACAAAACCGTACTATAGTGACCGCGTCACCAATACTATTCATTTTAAGCGCTGCTCGTCTAGACCACATTCTTGCATACATGGTGTGGTATACTGAGACTAACAAATAAAACATGTTTACTAAAATTACTAAGACTTCTCCAGTTTTTGGTTTATTGAAATGAAAACTGGCTTGTTCGGAAAAGTATTTCCATTCGCGGAGGGTAGCGTTCTCAAAATTTCAATTTTTGAAATACGGTAGTTAACCAGAAAACGGTAGAAAAATGTGAGAAAATTTGAAATTTCCCAACGATCGGCGTGTTTTTTGCTGCTGCCATGGGAACGAAACATCCAATCCGGACTTCTGGTAAAACGCACATTTGGAGGACAAATGACCCAATGTGAGAAATTCTATCCAGATCGGCAACGCCCCAGGAGACAGCTAGACAAACAGACAGTACAAATCTGGGAATCGGGTCGCCTAGATCCAATCATTACAAGTGTATCAATCTGCATAAACGAAGTATGCAAAGCACCCTGTATCTGATAACTAATAGATATCATTATACAATTACCTGATGGTGTAGGCACCACTTCATAGACTGGACATGGAAAATCATTCGAAGCAAGTTTGGCATCAGTGAGTCCCTCCGTTCTTTGAGCTCTTGTAGTTTCACCTAAAGTAAATTATAAATATAAACTGAAATAGTTTTCTGAATCATTGAAATTATTCTAAACTCATTCGAATCATATTTTAGTAGGGTGTGGCAAATGGCTTGTTGAAAAATGAAATAACTTTACACAAAGGGCATAGTCTGTTTAAAATCAGCCCAACTCTGATTACCATGTGTGGGTTCGAATTCAGTGGGGGACAATTATGTGCAAGAGTATTGCTGGACTTCTCGCCGGCGTAGAGTGGTTCATGTAACCGGTGGTTGGTTACGACTCCGAATTTACATAGTTACGACATTATATACAGGTCTATACAAATATGTGACTTGAGAAAGTCAATGAAATCAAGTATTTTGTAAATGTTTTGAATTTGTACTTTGGTAATTTGAATGTGTTCATAGAAATAAACTCATTTTCTGGTTGTTTATGATGATGCAAATGTCCAGCCTTCACCCAGCATTCAATTAATCAAATATGAAACTCTTTGTTCTATCAAATCAAAATAAACACAAAGCATTAAAATAAAAAAGAATGAATATGAACGAGGTCTTATTTGACTAAAAGTCTATTTCGCTTGTGTTTTTGACTGTGCGAAACATTTCTAAATTATAAAATAGGACAATAGAAGGGCAAATTGTAAATACAGTTTGCAGCAGACATGTGAAAATGTGCGACTGAATATTTTCTTTGTGAATAAAAAACATCCTTTTTATGTACTTGATGATAAGTCCGTTTTTGATAGTAATTTAAGCGGATGCGCTGGCAAGAAAGCAAATTTCTCATGGACCGGCAAAAAAAAAACAGCAGACGGGAACCACTGAGCTAGAGCAGTATCGCGTTGATCGCTCTTCATTGTCACATATTTGAGATAGCTCTTGAATATTTGAGCGAAGTAAACTAAAGCAATGGCACTCTTGCACATCTTTCAAATCTAAGTGCCAATTATTAACAAGAAGCCTGTAGGCAGGGATGGCCAATACTGAATAATTCATTATTTCGAATACATTCAAAATTATTATTTTCGAATATGAAATTTCGAATACTTTGAAAATAAATTCAAGCGTATCGTATTGTTCTCGTATTGACTCCCTCCACCATCAAGTCCATGTATCTGAAACAAATAACTGCCTAACTTATCCCATACCCGAAATGGACTGGTAACTGGACGAGAGACCATGATTTGCCATACAATGAAGTCGTTTTATCAACTTCCATCTCCCATAGGAGAAATATAAATAAATAAATAATATCTTGCATTTACATACTGACCATAGTCAGCGTATACAGAATAAAGAAATACTAGTCTTTTCACTAAGCTCATTGGATTGATTAAACTGAGTTTCAAAAGCGGTCTCCTACACAACAAAAATTTAATTATTTGAACATTAAAAATTTAATCATTCATAAAAAAACGAAAAAAATGAATGCTTCGAAATCTCAAGGTCTGCAACAAATCTCATTAGCACTATTTATTTTAGTGCAATAAAAAAATCGTTTTTCATCATTCTTGGTCCTGCCATGAATATGTAGTCCATTGTCTGGATAAATGAAAACACTGACATAATTGATAGGACAACTTAGCAATATTTGAAGTGTCCTAAAGTTTAGGTAATTGTCCAATACTGGGCAAAGTATTGAAATCTGAAATCTGAAATAAACTTTAGTCGACTAAAGATAAAATTGGAAAATGTGAAAATCCTATTATTCGCTCCCATATTTTTTGTCAGAAATTTGAGTTCCGGATTCATTTCTTTAATTATATCTTTAGTATCGCTGATGATTACATGTTAACAAATTTTTCACACTGGACGCTCAATTCTGGGCAACAAAAAAACTAATGAGGCACCTAAAAAACTTGACAGATAATTAATTTTATTGTCTAGAGCAAGAGTGTGCAACTGCGGCCCACGGGACAAATGCGGCCCGCAAAGAGATATTGTGTGACCCGCCGAGAAGTGGCAATTTTGGACAATGTGACCGAGAAACAAATTTTTAGTTCAGTTATCTGGTACGTGCTAGCAATTTCGATCCTTTTGAGTCGTAATGCATATGTCCGTGCCTGAGTCTCACTGTCATATAAGCAAAACTAGCTAGTTTTTTTTTAGTTAAAACGATATTTTAAATAAAGGTGCGACCCGCAGCTTCATCAAATTACTTAAATATACTTCCGTACTAAAGGTTGCACACCCCGGGTCTAGAGACTTGTACCACTTTATTCTTGTTTCAGGTTCAAAATGAAATAATTTACCATATTGTGAGCCTCCCATGATGTTGACAACACTGTCATGAATTATTGTAGTTGCATTTTGTCCCTTGGATAATATCGATTCATCTACAAAATTGACAAGAGTGCCATTCAGAATAATAAAACTTAAAAATTCTGCTAGGGTGATTATCTGATTAGGCAAACAGAACATGATTTATGTAATAACATCAAAGTAACATATTGTGCGTCATGAGGACCAGCAAGTTGAAATGACTAGCTAATTCGAGTAGAGTATAAAACATACCAGTACTTGGTATTTAGCACAATCTGACTCTACTTAAATTTTGAATTTTTTTACCTCCAATTAGGTAAAGATTTGATTCTTTTATCTCCACATTCATATTCTGCTCTGTTTCTAATACCGTTGCAGAACCTTAAAAAAAGTGAAGTTCCATGAACTACCATATATGGATAGAAACAAAACAAGAAATAAAGTACAGACTCAAGTGCATCACTGCATTAGTGAGGATAAAGGTCCGTTTACACTGGATGCGGCGCGGTAGCGCTTCTAGTCACGCACCATAGGTGTTTACGTTGCGTGCATCATTTTTGTATCACTCAATGGCGCCAGGGGCAAATTGAACAAAAAGGTTATTTCAGACTATGCAAAGAAAGAAAGATAAACGCTATGAATCATCATTCATATTACAATTCATTACCTATGTTGAATATCGACAAAATAGAATTTATTGAATTTTTATTTTGCACTGTCATTATAGTAATAACATCGAACAGTCAGGGGAGACTTCAAGTATAAATATGCATCAAATATATATAATATCCTTGGGCGTGGAATTTAACCAATAATACTATAGCTTTGTCAGCTATAATTTACAAAAATAATAAATGAATGTGAAATAATGTGTCGCTCGACCAGAAGCGGCATCACATCATGCATCGAAAAACGACCGCCGAGAGAAACAGAAGCGATGCCGCACGTCACCGCTGGGCTCATTGCTCTGTGTGTAAACGGCGTCATTTGAAACAATGGGGATCGATATCGGGCGCATGCCGCGTCGCATCGCATACGGTGTAAATGCACTTTAAATATTGCATTCAATCATCGTTTTTGTTATGCATGTTATGCAACCACTCATGCAGAATAGTTCAGTAAGATGAAAATTTTGATTTAATGTCATAGCCGCAATAAATAAAAATATGAGGGATGAGATGAATTAGCAACAAGATAATACTGGTTCGTGGTCGTATCGTTACCCCCCAGTCATCTACCGAAAACCTAATTTTCTCATTTTGCTATCCTATTTTTACATATCATATATTTTATGTGTTTTCTCGTTTGACAAAAAAAAAAAATTTCTCTCACTCTCTGTCTAATACTGTTTTATAGATACAAATTATAACGAACCAAGATAATAAATTTTATAATTTACTGTCATATAAATATTTGGGTTTTGAACTATTTGGGTTTTCATTATTTTAACTTGCTTATTCATATTCTCAGGTTAGAGTTTTTGAATAAAGATTTAAACAAAGTCACAATCATTACAATCTAAGTTTTAGTAAATAAAGTCATGGGCCAATATGAGAACCCCTCAAAATTTTGAACTAAGTATTTGCTTCCACAGTGACCAAATTTTGCATTTTGGATCACACGCAAATAGAAATCAATTACAGATTACAATATATACCAAATAATTAATGCACTCACCTGCCACAAGCAACTCTTTGTTGCGCATTTCTAAGTTAACAGTCCGTCGTTCTGTGCTGTGTGTACTCGATGCATAACCTGAATTTTAAAAGATGACAACTATGTTACATATAATTGAATAGTCATTTCCAAAATAAATTCATACCACAATTTCTAAAAGAAAAATGTAAACTACAAAGTTAAAGTTAGCCTCGTGGTTTAAAAATAATTTCGTATCTAGCAGAGCAGTATCATCTTGCTGCTAATTTATCTTTTAAATTTATTATGTAAATCACATTTATTGCAACACTGAATTGCAAAACTAAATAATTCATATTCACGCCTTACACTCAAATGCTAATAAATGGACAACAGTGCCAAGCTACATAACAGTTCAAAGCTGACAAGTCCACTCTGGGTACGGTTGAAAAGCTTCAAATATTAACAAAATTTCTTGCTTTTATGGCCATGTCCTACCATCCCAAGGTCTTGCATGTAGTCAATTTAAAGTTTGAGACTTCTTCCACAAACCATAAATGGGCAATGTAGAATAATTTACTATTCAAGAATACTTGAATCAAATCTAGAATACCGAATCCTATGATATTTGTTACAAAACACAAACAGGCATTATGGACAAAATAAAGGAATTTTACCAATATTCTCTTCGCCTTTCAAAATTTATGTGATTCCTGATCCCTTTTCATTTGTATTTCCGTAATCACGAAAAAATAGATTATAGTCCAGTGGTTCCCAAACTTTTTAGAGTTGGGACCCCCTATCTATTACCACAGCTTATGGCGACCCACTTAACTTTAGTTTAATTTTTTTTTTTTTTCATGATATAACACAGAACACAGCAATGACTAATCATCGCAAAACTACCTTCTTTCCTCGAAAAAAAAGGCCTGGCCTGAAAATAAGATAATAATTTGAATTTTGAAAATGATTATAATTAAACCCTACCCTTAGAATAAATTTAAAATATGTGCGAGAGGAAAGGTTCATTGAAATGAGGTAAGGTGAAGATGACACCACTATTCAAGATTGTATGATGTCACGATCACAATTATGATATTTTTAACTTGATTTTTGTATAGGAAATACAAATAAAAACAGTGGATGTCGATTTTTATATAATAATTAGTAAAAAATCTTGTGATTTTCTACAATGTAATTTTATTGTTGATAAATGAACACAAAAGACCTCTTCCAAAAAAACCATAGTGTTATTATTCGAAAGAAAATAAATCTAAATCCTGCCGGGGAAACACCGTAACAAGTGCTGTACAGTGTTCAAAACTGATATGCGTAAAACCACATGGTCATTCTTTGTGTAGCAAATTTTTGGTCCTCTGAGAAGATCGTAAAAAGGAAACTTTCACAGATTAGAATTTAAATTCAATTTAATTTCTTTCGTTTTTTTTTTTTAAGATATTTATGTATTCGAGTCACCACCGATCCTAATAACCAGTATATATAATTAATCAAAGCCTTTTACATCTTTTCACGACTCACTAAGATTCCTTTTGCGACCCACCAGTGGGTCGCGACCCAAAGTTTGAGAACCGCTGAATTATACTATTTCCCGCTTTTTGGCAAACAATTTTGATGATAGTTAAAAAGTATCGACTTTTAGCTAGGATGATTTTCTGTTGCAACAAAATATTCAAATCCATGAAGGATACCATCATTTAAAATGTCTTGCCGTATTTTAATTTAATTCTATTCAGCATAACTCATGGTTGCGTCCACTTACGAAAAAATAAAAGCATTCCCAACTCTAAAATATCGGGGCAATCTGCGGACATAAAAAGTGTGCTAAACTGCCCGAGTATAATTAATTTTTTATTAGTATTCTCCTACTAACGAAAAACAAGAGCATTACAACTTAAAATACCACGACAATCTGTGGATATAAAATGTATGGTGAACTGGCCGATTTTAATTAATTTTGATTCGTATTTTCGTACTAACGTAAATAAAAAAGGCAAAATACTATAAAATATCACGGCAATCGCTGGATATAAATTTTCTGGTAGCCAGCTTGTAAATAACAGTTATTCCATTGCTTATTGTATGCAAATTCCTTCATACACTAAGATAAGCTTCCTTTATTTGGTTTTACTTTCGAATGTATTCGAAATTTCATATTCGAAAATATTAATTTTGAATGTATTCGAAATAGTGAATTATTCGGTATTCGCCATCTCTGCGATTTACATCAAAGATGGTTAATAAGCAAATAATATATGTTTATGACAATTTGCTGAAAAGCAGAGGAATTTGTTCATTTTGACGTCGAGATTATAATTAGCACATCGGCCGAAATAAATGATCGATTGACACGATTCCGCTCTGTACATCGCCAACCGCGTTTTGTGCTTGAGCTAAAATATTCATTTTATTTGAAAACCATCGCTTACTTAAGACTGATATTCGTAGTACCGGTACAAACAATGTTTATCCAAGCGTAGAAAAAAACAATCCCCTTTTTCGTAAAATAGTATTCGTTATACAAAGGTATGCGGCAATGCACTCCCTCTGGAATGTAGTTGTATAAACGAAAACAGCTTTAGTAGCGGAAATACGTTGAACTTTAACATACTACGTGTGTGTGCATGTATGGTAGAGCGCATTGGCACACACACCGAAAGCGATGATCCCCAAAATCACTTTATCTCTATCGACCCGTCGACGTTTGAGCGTCTCTCACAAGTCACAACACGGGCGTTTCTTAAAACGTGTATTTTGTATTTCAATAGTAAACTGGCAAGATACAAAAACTAAATGTGAAGCATCTTTAAATAATTGTTACAATAATAATTGTTAAATAATTACTGCACTTTGTAGGTAACACGCTAATTATTGTGTAAATAATTAAATTTACCCAGTATCAAATATTATCAATTATGGGCCGACGTTTTATTCTGTGCGAGCAAGACTCGTAAAAAAATGTTGCCGTAATCGTGATTTTGTATTCAATAACATCGAAAGATTAATTTTCCATAGCAAAATCTTAATTTTCTGTTTCTAACTTCTTATCGGAATATGCCGTGTTTTCCTGAAAATAAGCCTGAGTATCAGCCTAAATATTAAAAATGATTTTTAAAAAGAACCCTCCCTTCAAAGTAAGACCTAGTCGATAAAGCGAATTAGTTTTTTTGACCGAATCGATTGCAAGAAATCTCTCTTGCACGTTTCGAATTATTGATCTAAAACGTGTGAGAGAGGAAAATATTCAACGACCTGAGGAAGTTTTTTTTAAATAAAAATGTGTTATTTATAAGTAAGTGGATTACGATTTTCATATTTTGTATATTTGTGAATCTCGTAATTCTCTACTTTGCGATTTTGTTTTTGATAAATGATATTAAAAGATATCCCGCAAGAATAACCCCTCGTGTTTTTTCGAAATAAAATTAAAATAATACCCTGTCTTATTTTCGGAGAAATACGGTATCTACCCAGACTGGCGCTACTCACTACGTGTTCGCGTAATACCTCGCAATAGTTAGGCCAAGTATGATGATTAACTGTCCTTATCTAATACGGTAATCTTCTGATTTATCATCGACTAAAATACCACAGATACCCGACCAAACGTGTGTCAATCTTGGACGATAGGATCGCCGACTTGGTTTTGAAAAATATGCAATCTTCTGGGAATGCAAAATAATTGTGCCTTGTTTCGCGACTAACTTTTGTTTTGTATAACTTTTGTTTTCTCGAAGACTTTGTACTTTCGGAGAAAGATGTCATATAAGTATTCAAATTATGCACAAATAATATTTGATCGAAATTTATCGCAAACAAATTATAACATTTAACGCCTGGCTTCCGGTTTACATCATTTTTTGCAAAATAAATCATAGGCCGTGAAAAATCTTTCAATTAATGTAAAATAAAACATGGTAATCGGGCATATCGCCAGTAAGTCGGCACCAATAACTATTATATGTTAATTAGATTGTAAAGGTGGAAAACATAAAAATTGTGCAATAACAAGTCTTCGCCGTGTGTTGTTTATCGCCGTCTTCCTATAATTCTGAATATGTCGAGTGATCTAATGTATGTCCCTTTAACGGGTTCTTTGAGAGAAAACACAAGTCACGCGTAGCATTTCAAATAGCATTTCAGCGCGAGAAAGAATGCCCGTCTTTGGATAATAATAAATTTGAAAAACGAAATCCAAAAATTAATGCTCGGCGCCAAACATGCGAAAACCGAAACCTGTTATCGGGTGCTTTTGGATTTGAATACTCTATATTTCGAATCATTCGGATTCGGTATTTTGAATTGCCAATTCCTTGCTATGACAAGCCCCACAAAACGGTGACCGTACATTTGAACCTATGTACATTTGAACCCATGCGTATATCCACGGGTTCAATCTATATGCGGGTGCTAAAACCCATGGGTTAGGGTTAGTATGGGTTTAACTATCCGTGAAACAAAAAAAATTCCATAGGTGCAATAGCATACAAGTGCAATTGTCATGGGTTCAAATGTACGTGGGTTCAAATGTAATCCCACAAAACAAATACTTTACCCTATATTACGCAAAACTGTTGCCTGGATGATGGTAAAAACATTTTTCGTTTATGTAAGAATGTTGACGCTGGCTTAAACTCGTTTTGAGTTCTATTCATGTGAGATTTTCTTAAATAAACCGAAAATGTGAAATTCTCATTGCATGCCATGTTCAGATTAAATTGAAATGCGCTATATATCAACACATTCGGTATATTTGCGTTGAGTATTTCATTTATCAAATTTGGCCCATCTATGATTTACAGCTATTATAACACTGTCCATGCCAGATTTATGAAATTCAATTGAATTCTAAAAGATTTGAACACCAACACAATTACTATGTTTAGATATTGTTCAAGTATGGCTGGTTATATCTGGTGTAGATGATCACAAAAGTTGGACGAAAATCAAAAATTTTATTTTTAATATTTCTGGAGTTGAAGGTTGAATATGCGAACCAAATACTTTTATTTTAAAACATCAGTGACCTATAAGGCCATATACAGTAACATT